GAAAAAATTAACCCATTCAACCCCTTTTGCTTTCATCCAGTAACTCATTTTTCCCTAAAATGTGATGTCAAGGTGTGTCTCAGACATCACCTTATTAAACAACACTTAATAGGTTTCCAAACACTTTTAAGATAACATGCGTGTGAGATAGAAGGTCAAGATCATAATAATGCAGAAGAAATTCTGAAGTGGCTTAAAGCAGTAGAAATCGGAGAAATCAAACCATCCAACCCTTTTTGCTTTAAGCTGATATCTCAGATGCCACCCACACATAACAGCTTTCCAAACACTGTCAAGATAACATGGATGTGAGAGACAAGGTCAGGATCATAATAATGTAGAAGAAATTCTTAAGCGTTTGGCAATGTAGAAGTAAAGATATTTGAAGAATGCTAACTGGTTTTTATTTTTTAGGGGCAGGGCAGTTCAATGCATGCCTAATGTAAAGATGCTTTACTATTTTAGGAGCTGCCCTACTTGAATCATTTGTGAATGTAACCTTGTTTTCTTCTTTCTTTGAAACTCTAATTATAGCTTTCCTCTTTTGTTTTCTTTCACTTGATATGAGGTCAATAGAGCATGCTTGATTGTGTACGATATTAACCATACGACAACCTTGATTGAACAAGTGTCTGCTTACAGGCAGCTACAAGGATCTTGGCTCGTCAGCTTGTTCGGTTACGCCAGCAGATAACTAATTTACAGGGAAGTCGTGCTCAGATCAGGGGTGTTGCAACTCATACTCAGGTTAGAACGGAGCCTTGTTCTTATGATGATAATAAACTGCTTCTTTTCTAATTTTTAGATTGACAATACGTCTTCTTCAGGCATTATATGCAAGCACGTCTATGTCTACTGGGATGAAAGGTGCATCTAAGGCAATGGCAGCAATGAACAAGGTATGTTTCATATCTGATTCGTCATTGGATTTATTAAAACTCTTGAAATATACACCTTCAGCCTCCCCTGCTTTTTTGACAATGTCATATGCAAGGCCTGCATGAAGAGAGTCAAACAAAATATGGATCTTATATGTAGTCGATAATTTCCATTACTTAGCTCATAGTTAGTGATTTTGAAGGAATACTGTAATGTTTCAGATACTCAACCTTTCTTTATACTTGCCGAGACACAACCTTCCTTATAGCATAATTATTGGTAGACGAAATCATTCTTTTTATTTTTATCTTCTATTCAGCCTCATGCTTTAAGCATGAAGAAAGTACGTGCCAACTAAACCTTAAAGTTTATTCTAATTATGAGAATGAGGGTAGGAAGGACTGAATTATTCATAAATCAATAGTATATTCACCTAATATGCAAAATGTTTGTGATTATCATATGCTGGTGATTCAACCCAAAGAGAAAATTTTCATGTTGCTAGTGGGTTACCGTCTGAGTGCTTTCCCAGACTTGCTAATACCTCAATTATTCAGTAATCATTATCCTACTTGTCTTTTCAGCAAATGGAACCTGCAAAACAGGCAAAGGTGATCAAAGAATTCCAAAAGCAGTCAGCACAAATGGACATGACGGTAATATTTTTTCTTTTTAGCATGTGTTCTTCTGATGTTGTCCCATGCAGTTATGCTGTTGTGTGAATGAAGGGTAAAATGGATGAAAGAAGGCTTGAACAAAGGGATGCACCAGAGAGTTATGGAGTGATGCAAGAGCTTGTGACTTGGGCAATCTTGCGTGTGTGTTCAGAAGAAAAAATACAAACATCTAATTAAAAAAGGAGGCAGAACAGGATTACTATGACTTTGTTGAGTGCAAAAGTTTGCTGATCAAGTTGTTCTTTGTCTTATTTGTTGATTGATTGTCTTATGGTTTTATTGACCCTCCTCCTTTCCCATCCGCAAAGTAAGAAGCATTTACAAGTAATGAACAAGCAGTTGCCTTCCTGCCTGATTAGAGCAATTTCTACGAATGTCCTTTTAATACTTTTTTTTTTTTTTTTGGGTTTGTGGTTCGACATTATGATATTCATATTATTTTATGTTTAATGCAGATTGAGATGATGTCAGAAGCTATTGATGAAACTTTAGACAAAGACGAAGCTGAGGAGGAAACAGAAGAGCTCACCAACCAGGTAAATATAACTCTGAATAGACGGTAGTTAGCTTTGATAGTCCAGGTCCTTGTTTGCTTCGCGATATTTACTTTTTATTCATCCCTGGCAGGTTCTTGATGAGATTGGAGTGGACATTGCATCACAGGTTGGTTTTTAAATTCATGAATAATTATAGTCTTCTGTTTTCTTTCATACTTTTTCCCGTCCTACGTATTTCTTAAACAGTTGGTATTGATTCTGACTTTTTCTGATGGCAGTTATCTTCTGCTCCAAAAGGTCATATTGCTTCAAGGAATGTTGAAAATGTTGCTACAGGGTAAATAATTTTAATATTCCTTTTTGAGAAGGCCTCTTAGTTGTCCCCACCAAAATTTTGTTGGGTGTTTTTGTTTGTTCATAAGTGCATTGTTACAAGTGTATGGATGCATTATCAACGTCAAAGTCATTTGATATAATTGAAATAATTAAACATTGGACAGCTGGTCTTGAAAGTGTTTAACAAAATACTCAAATCTTTTCTGAGTAGCTTTCCAAAATAATTGGAAATATGATTTTTTTTTTTTTTAATATTCTGATAATTTTTCGGCAAATGCCCTTATTTTTATACAAACTCCCTAAAATTTATAACAAGTACTTTTCAAAAAAAGAAGGTATATTTCATAAAATAAGCTGAAGAAATGGGGCCCTTTTTTGCTGCTGATTCCTGTGGCTTTTCTCTGAACGCATGCAGATCTGAAACCCAAGATGTGGAGGAACTTGAAAAGAGGCTTGCTTCGCTTCGTCGAATATGAGATAATCTTGAACTGCTAAGGAATGTATAAAATAGTGCTATACTAGTATCCTTGCAAAACGTCTATAAAATATTATGCGTGCTATGATGAAAATTGTCCCATTAAATGCTGATTTTACCTTCATAAAATGGTTATAAAGATATATCTCTCTAGATTGTTTATAGTGTTTGTGAGTGAAAGCAGGAGCTGAACTTTAGCATAGTAGTGGTCTGGTAGTTGTTTGTTCACCTACTAGAAATGTATGTTCCGTTGTATCTATGTTCAGTTAGGCTTTTTGTGGCTGTCGCATGAATTATTGAATTTGTCCTGCGTCATAATAATATTCATATAATAAAAAATTGCCCTCTTTATCTTTTATACTTGGCAAAAGGTACACCTTAATCCTCTGACTTCATAGAAACTTTTAGTTTGATCCCTTAAAATTTATAAATTATCTTTTCAGTTCTCTGAACATTGTTACTCAAATGATGATTTTTTTAACAATTATCATTATTTTAAAAATTAAACTTAATATATTACTTCCTCTGGTCTTATTTATAAGTTTCAATTTGGTTTGTCTTAACATTTAATATATTTTTTTCAATTTTACCTATAATTATTCATTCTCTGTTTTGTCATAATTTCTCTTATCACATTTTCCTACACATTTTTTCTTTTTTATTATTATAAGGGCATATTTGAAAACAAAAATATATTTCTAATATATTTATTGCTTTTAAGTAATTTTAACTAATTGTTTGTTAGTCATGAATTAGTTATTTGAAGATTATAATAAGAACTGAAAAGAGTAGTATTTAAAAATGTTTTGTTAACATTTAAATTTTTAATGTCTATATTTTTGTTAACGATGTTAAGATCAAAAGATTAGAAAAATTCTATATATACTAAAGAGATCAAAAGATTAGGAAAATATCTAGGAGTGCCGCTACACCATGATCGTGTCAAATCAGAGACTTACAACTTTGTCCTTGATAAGGTTCGAGCTAGATTGAGCAACTAGCATACTTTTAGAATTTCCTTTGCTGGCCGTGATACCCTTGTGAAATCGGTGATAGCAGCAATGCCGATCTATGCTGTGCAGACAGCTAATATCCCTGTCTCTATCTATAATAACATTGAAAAGAAAGCTCAGAACTTCCTATGGGGCTCCTCTGATGAGAGGAGGAAGATGCACCTTGTTTCTTGGGATAAAGTTTGTAGTGAGAAAAAGTTTGGTGGACTTGGCATGAGACATATCAAACAACAAAAGAAAGCTTTCATGATGAAACTTGGATGGGGGCTGGTAAATGATCGAAACTCTCTCTGGGTTATGGGGGTGAGAGCAAAATATGGGTGTGGAAACGATTTAATTCCAGCTATCAACCCAAATAAACCTGGGTCCAACATAGGGAATGGCATCAAACGGAATTGGGGAACGGTCTATGAAGGCATCCAACAAGTCCCGGATAGAAATGGCAACCTATGTAAAAGGTGGAAATGGGAAAAAAGTGGCAAGTTCACGATAAGGTCCGCTTATCACACTTTGAACACGACTCAGGAGACCCCCACGACTAGATGGAAGGAAATCTGGCGTCTCAAAGTCCCGCAACGTTGCAAAACCTTTGCCTGGCTTATGATATGCATGAACGGCTCACTACTAACGTGACAAAGCATAAACGAAACCTGCATGTTTCAGGAATTTGTGACAGATGCAAGGCAGAGTCAGAAGATGAAATGCATGCACTAAGAGACTGCGAAGATGTCAAGAAGAACTGGGAAAAGATCATCAAGCCCCATTATCATACTAGTTTCTTCTCCAGCTCCATGTCGGATTGGTTCAAACTCAATATGAGGAAGAAAGTGGGCCCTACCCACGACCACTGGAAGGATCTCTTTATCATACTTTGCTAGTTAATATGGAGAGATCGAAATGAGATTACCCATTCATACTCGGCCTCGAACCTGAATTCAACCTATGCGAGAGCTACGGCCATACTAAGAAGCATGAGAAGTGCACAAGACAAACTGAGGGGAACCAACCTTAGCAACAGCAATCAGACTAGTCTCATGTCTAACTCTAGGTCTACAGAATATGAGGCTTATGTGGTGTACTGTTAAACAAAGATGGAACAGTCACTGAAGGTTTCCAGTTCAACATGCCGACGGGGGATGCTCTTACGGCAGAGTTATGGGGCTGCCTCTTAGGCCTCAAAAGAGCATGGGAATGTGGTTTCCGAAGTATCGTGCTTAAAAGTGACTCTCAAGAAGCCCTTAGCTTGGTGCAGATGGAGAACACTGACTTGCATGAGGAATTCGCACTGATTTCTGAGATCAAGAACATGATGCAACAGAACTGGAAGGTAACGCTCCAGTACATCGAGAGAGATATGAATAGAAGAGCCGATCTACTAGCTAAACACGGCCTAGCCGCTGGCAAAGGCCTGCAGCTGTTTGGACCCGATGCCATGGATTCTCCTGCTGTTGGACACGGAGGATTAGTGTTTTACGCTGTGCTCTACTGTTTTGTTTAGATTTCCAGTGTATCCAAAAAAAAAAAAAGAGATGAACATGAAGCACTGTATCAAGTTAAAAGAATAAAAGTGCATTTTTGGCTTAATACTTTCTTGAAAAAAAGGTGTCTATTTGTTTGGACTAAGAAAACATGTGACTAAACTTGAAATACTCCTTGAGTAAAAAACTTGGGAGACATCCATACAGCTAAGTTTACAAATGGATGTAAATTAAAAATTACAGTCTCTTGCAATTTATTGTATTGATACTTCAAAAAGTAAACATTATTTGCATATCCATAAAGTTTTGCATTTATATTCAAATTTTAATAATAAAGTATGACCTTTCTTGAGCTTTTAATATAAAATAAAAAACATAATCTCATTGTTGTTCCGTTTGTTTGCAATAATATTTTTGCATTACTTTTTAATCTAAGCGTGATTTTTTATTTGTGAATATAAACATTGTATTCATGCATGTATTGTATAGCCGGTTCCAAGCCCGGATAAAGGAGGAGGGTTGTGTTAGGCCCTTGACAGCCAACGTAAAAACCCGTCGAATCTCATGAACATGGATCAACGAAGTAATTATGCTAATGCTAGGTCGTTGCCCAGAAGTGACGCGCTGTATGGCTCGAGTACAGTGAGAAATGAGCTAGAGCCGCTGCATCGTCGCCCGGATGTAGTGTTAAATGAGCAAGGGCTACCACACTCTCTTGGACGGAGGCGGCTAAAGAAGTTAGTTCATGAGACTGAGATTATATTTGGCACTTGGAATATTGGGACATTGAATGAGAAATCTATGGAAGTAGCAGGAGTTATGAGGGACAGAAGGATTAATATCTTATGCCTCCAAGAAACCAAATAGACTGGAGAAGCTGCCAAGGAACTTGGAGAGTATAAACTTTGGTACACAGGAAAGGTGAGCGCAAGGAATGGGGTTGGTATCATCGTTGATGGGACATGGAAAAAGAATGTGGTAGAGGTTAAAAGGTTTGAGGACAGAATAATATCGTTAAGAGTAATTGTTGGGAAGGATACTATCAATATCATTAGTGCCTATGCACCTCAGGTTGGAGCAGAGACACATCTTAAAGATAAGTTTTGGGAAGATATGGAGGGTTTGGTTCAAAGCATACCACTTGAAGAAAAAAATTTTATCGGTGGGGACCTTAATGGACATGTTGGTAAGGAAGTAGGACAATTCAGTGGGGCCCATGGTGGTTTTGGTTTTGGGGAGCTTAATAGTGGAGGACAATCTATTCTCGATTTTTCTCTTGCATACGATCTTAAGATTGTCAACACTTGTTTTAAGAAGCGAGAGGAGCATTTAATCACGTACAAAAGTGGTGTCTCGAAATCACAGATTGATTTCTTTTTGGTTAAGAATCTGGACAGAAGATTGTGTACTAATTGCAAAGTGATTCCAGGAGACGGGGTGACTGCCCAACATAGAGTACTTATCCTTGATGTGCGTTTTAAGAGTACCAAGGAAAAGTACCATCAAGTGGCAAAACCCAGGATTAAGTGGTGGCAGTTAAAAGGGGAAAAGCGGGAGTTATTCAAAAGGACTTTTTTGAAGGAAGGGATTTGGGAGTTGTAGGGAAACGCAAACATGATGTGGGAAGAGATAGCTACAAGGGTTCATTTGGTAGCTAAAGCAATTTTGGGAGAATCTAAAGGTCCTGGTCAAAGAGATAAGGAGACTTGGTGGTGGAATAAGAGTGTGCAGGAGAAAGTCAAACAGAAAAGAGATTGTTTTAAGGCCATACACTTGTGCAATAGTGTAGAGAACCGGGAAAAGTATCAGTTGGCTAAAAAAGAGACAAAGAGAGCAGTGAGCGAAGCACGTACTAAAGCTTATGAAGGGTTTTATCAGGAGTTAGGAACAAAGACGGGAGAAAGAAATATTTACAAGATCGCGAAGCAAAAGGAGAGGAAAAAGAGAGATCTGGACCAAGTAAAGTGTATAAAGGATGCAGATGGTAAAGTGTTGGTTACTGATGGTGATATTAAGGACAGATGGGAAGCTTACTTTTACAAGTTGTTTAATAAGGGAAGCAATTATGCGACTCAGGACTTGCAGGACTTGTTAATTAACGAAGATGATCGGAATTTGGCTTTCTACCGCAGGATACGTATCGGAGAGGTTAAGGCGGCTCTCAAGAAAATGGACAATGGAAAAGCCGTTGAGCCTGATGGTATCCCTATTGAAGTCTGGAAGTGTTTGGGCGATGAGGGGGAGGTGTGGCTAACCAAGCTTTTTAATAAAATTCTACGCTCTAAAAATATGCCGGATGATTGGAGGAGAAGCATTTTAGTTCCTATTTACAAGAATAAAGGAGACATTCAAAACTGTGCAAGCTACAGAGGGATAAAACTTATGAGTCATACAATGAAGTTATGGGAAAAAGTAATGGAATATAGGTTGAGGTTGGAGACTTCTATTTCAGAAAACAAATTTGGTTTTATGCCAGGGAGATCCACATCGGAAGCAATCTATTTACTAAGGGGGTTAATGGAGAGATATAGAAGTAAAAGAAGAGATTTACATATGGTTTTTATTGACTTGGAAAAGGCTTATGATCGTGTGCCAAGAGAAGTTTTGTGGAAGGCTTTGGAAAAGAAAGGTGTACGGGTTGCTTATATCAAAGCCATACAAGATATGTATGAGGCGGTAACTACCAGTGTAAGGACGCCTGGGGGGGAGACAAAGGACTTCCCTATTAAGATTGGCCTACATCAGGGATCCTCTCTGAGTCCGTACTTGTTCAATATTATTCTGGATGTTCTAACTGAACCTATTCAAGAAAGAATCCCCAAGTCCATGCTCTTCGCGGATGATATAGTCCTTATGGCGGAATCAAAAGAAGAGATTAACACTAGTTTGGAGTTATGGAGAAGGACTTTGGAGTCAAAAGGTTTCCGTTTGAGCAGGAACAAAACAGAATATATGCATTGTGATTTTGGAGGGAGGCAAGGTAATGGGGATTTGGAGGTGAGGATGGGAGAGCAAATTATACCTCAAGTATCAAAGTTTAAATACCTAGGATCCATTATACAGGAGAATGGGGAAATTGATTGAGACATTTCTCATAGAATACAAGCTGGCTGGTTAAAGTGGAGGAAAGCTACCGGAGTTATTTGCGATAAGAAGGTACCTGAGAAACTTAAAGGAAAATTTTATCGAACTGCTATAAGACCAGCTATGATGTATGGTAGTGAATGTTGGGCAATAAAGGGAAAACAAGAGCATAAAGTCGGAGTAACAAAAATGAGGATGTTGAGATGGATGTGTGGTCATACAAGAAAAGATAGGATTCGAAATGAAAAAATCAGGACAAGAGTCGGTGTGGCACCTATCCAAGAGAAAATGGTTGAAAATTGCTTAAGATGGTTTGGACATGTGCAGAGAAGGCCTTTGGAGGCCCCGGTGAGGAGGGTGGATCAAACGAGATGGAGTCCCATAAAAAGAGGCAGGGGAAGACCGAGAAGAACGTTGAATGAGGTCATTGAACGAGACCTCCTAGTCAACAACATATCTAAGGATTGGGTTGTTGACAGAGCACGATGGCATCGTGTGATTCATGTAGCCGACCCCACCTAGTGGGATAAGGCTTGTTGTTATTGTTGTTGTTGTATTATATTCATGCATGTGATTTGCTTTAACATGGATCCTGTAATTTTCTGGCATATCTAACATTTTTTTATTTTATAGCCATATATATTTATACACATGCCAATATCATATCCCAAAATTTTAAAAATTCAGATTTTATGTATCTCTTCTTGTCCTTAATATAAGAGCTAGTTAGGATTACATTTAGTCATAGATATAAAACATCAATTCATTTTGTCTCTCATCCTTTCCCGAAATATCCCTATTAATTATAAGTTGATACGAAGGGATAATTCTAATTATTCAAAGCATATAATTAAAAAGAATATAATTTAGAGAAATCAACACACATTTATGACAAATAACCAATTTAACTAAGTTTTTTAATATTCCTAAATTAGTTACCTAACTCCATATTAAGAACCGTACTCTATCAAATCAACATATATTCACCCTTGCTTCAGTTTGGGAAAACAAATCTCAAGCAACTCACATCAATTTTGAATTAGACTCTTATAGTCTATTTTGTGAGAGTAGTCCCTAAACCTTGTGAAACGTCCTGCCTTTAACCCCTCAGAGTACGTATTCATAAGCGTTATAGTTGAAGCAGATCACAATACAAGCCCGTGGATTTAAAGATTCCAACATAACTGCTCGGGTTACTATTCACTGTTTAATTTCCAGACTACAGGTCCAACTTCAAAAATTCATAACTAAATCCATAAAAATCGTATTGAGGTGTTCTAAAATTCTCCAAAAAGCTATTTTGATTCTCTTGGAGAGAAAAATATCCAATTAGACTTATCCTTGCCCAATTCGTACAGTTTAATTAATAAATGTTACTGTTTATTTCGTAAAATCTAGAACTTCCAGATTCTATGCTTCAACTTTGGAAATTCATATCTCTTTGTGTACACATCCAATTGAGATGATCTATCTCTCATTTTAAAGCTTGGGATGTGTACTATGAGTCTGCCAAATCTCATCACCTAACTCATTCGTTTGATAGGTCAAACTGGAGCTACAATCTCACTGCTCTAAGCCCTACGTTTTATCCCTTAACATCTCTTTACTTTAATTCTTTTTATTTCTTTGGCATACATGACATGGGCTTACTCTTTCCCATTCATGCTCATACATTTCTATACATGCCGTAAGCTTTGTAATTAATTACATGGCATCATAGGCATCCATAACATAAATTACATAATAGGAGAATTACACATTGAATGATAATATCATTCATTAACATGAACAATTCTCTACTTTCTTCTCCTTGCTTCTCATGCCATTATTGCCCATTGATGATTGACCTAAATGGTTGGTTAGGGAGGGGTGAGATTCGGAGAAATCTCAGTAGCAAACAATACCATATTAATTATGCTAGATGGATGTTAATGCACTACACGCAACTTGTTTATTTTCTTGTTAATTAGTGACATATTAGCATGCTCAAAGCTAACTTCTTGATGCATGGCCATAGAGATATAATCTACTCATCATGAATAGCAATTACAGAAGCTAAAACATGTCACAATAATATTCAATAACATGTACACGGCAACACACAAGCATACAACATCAAGCAATGACAATAGATAAGTTCACTACCTTGCACATCAAGCTTTCCTCTTACTTTTCCTATGACTCCCTTGACTTTCCAACCATGTGGGCATTCGGATGAACATCACCAAACATCCTCTTGGATGTTCCAAAGGTCCTAAACATAGTCACATTGATCATACAATCCATTAGGACCACTAGATTATATAAAGTTCAAGACTAGCTCTCTTGAACCTCAACCCCTTCTCTTGCTTTTAGGGTTTTCTTTCTAGCCTTTCTAACATAAATCTCATCATTTCCCATCCTTAAGATCCATTTCTTGTCAATTAGGACCACTTTAGATGGCCTTAGATTCAAGAAGATCAAATCTGGAAAATTTGCCTCGTGGGTACTGTTCACGCAGGAATTTCAGAATTTTTGCTCAACTTTGAAAATTCATAATTAATTCTAGAAAAATCAAAATTGAGTGGTTCCAAGTCTCACTGAAATATCCTTACATTAAATTTACACGAAAAATAGTTTCAGGAACCAATTCTATGATGAACAATACCGGAATTGTACGGAACTCGACACTCTTCCAAAAGTTCAATACTATTTCCAGATTTCAAACCCTAAATTTGAAAAATCACCATAAATTGTACACATATCCAAATGAAGTGTTCTACCCACGGATTTAAAGGTCACAGAGTGTACTTTAATCATGCAAAATTTCAGAATCAGATTCAAAGAGAAACTAATTCGAAACAGGCATCAAATCAGATGCTATAACCACCACATACCTTGATCTTGAAGCTTGAACTTAGATGGACTTTCTCTCACTAGAAATAGCTCTTTCTCTCTCTAAATGCAAGAGCGGAAAAGTTTCCCCTATGGTTCCTTGCTTGGCCGAAAATGTGAGGGGAGGAGTGCCTATTTATAGCCAAAATTTTGGCTTGAAATGACCAAAATGCCCTTTGGTGGCTAATAGAAAGGGTAAGGGCAATCTTGGAACTTCAAGTTGACTTTTGCATCATCATTGCATCATCTTCTTACATCATGCTTACCTCAACCTTCTAGAAGATGCCAAGTGTCACAAATGTGGTGGAGGAGAAGGGAGATTATATCCTAACCATTGGATCAAACTTGTTTCCTAAATTTCCTCCGAATTTACTTGGCCCACATTTCTCCAGCTTTCTTTATGGCCTTCCGAAGCTCAAAAAATTCTTCTGTGTACTTCATAAATTCCTTTTAATTCTAGAGAATATCTATGAATTTTCTTAGGCCATAACACTTCCTTTAAGCCTTACATAAAAATTTATTTACTAAAATACCCTTTTATCGGCATAAACGACTTTTAATTTATTAAAGCCATTCTGCTGGCCTTTTGGTTGCGGGACTAATTTTATAAATTAGTACAATCTTTTAACCATTTAATCTCATTTTTGTATACATTTTTGAGGTCTCTTGCTATCTCAAATAATTACCTCAAACGGTATACTTTTTACCGGTCATAACCTGAAAAATTCCATTTAAGCTGTCTTAGGGGTATTTTCGTCTTTTTCTTTACAGAAGAGCCTTAGAATATTATTTCCCATTTTTTTGGATTTTCTTGAATTCTCTGTATACTCTTCCATTTTTACCCCTATTAATCATAACTTTCTAAATTTATGGTTTAGTCCCTGCTTGGACTTAACTTCATATAATCCTCTCTTCTAGGTTTCTAACTTAACCCTTGGCCTGTATCTAGCCTCTTTTCTCTCTCTGGACCTTTGAGACTTTACTGGAACCTCTAACTTTAATTACACTTTAGCCCCTTAAAACTTTCACTTTGCAGTTTAGTCCCTAAAACTGCTTTGACTTTCTTTCTTATCTTTGGGACTTCTGCTCAAAAGGAGTTTGGTAGCCTATCCAATTCAGGCTATTTCTGGTACTTCTAGGCCTAAAAGTTTGGATGTTACACCTTGCATTTCAACTTATTAAACATCTAACATCATTAATGTTAATCGACCTATATTGATGAGTTGGTAGCTCTACCAAGGTTGTGATTTGTCTCCCTATTTGGCAGAATGAAAAATGGGCTAAGATCTAACTCAAAATTGATGTAAAATATAAGGACTTGAAAGTTAATTTTTCATTTCATTTTTAATAATAATATTTGAAATAGTAAAGAAAATCGTACTCAAATTCAAATGCTTTTTAAAAGGATACTAGAGGTGAAAATAGGCCAGGAGGCCTGTCAGGGGCCTGTGGCCTGGCCTATTTAAATATCAGAACAGGCTCAGGCCTGTAAAAGGCCTGTTTACTTTATTAGGTCAGGTTCAGGCCTGATAATAAACCTGTTAGGCCTATCAGGCGACCTGGGCCTGTTATCTTTTTTTTTTTTTGAGGTTAAAATTGTAAATGGACAGGAGGGAATATGTTATTTTGATTGGTTAATTAAGAAAATTCCACCCACATAAACATGTTATCCAGAGCTTATTGTATGCTTCATTTCATTTCCATTCTCTATACTAAAAATAATTGATGGATGTATAATAACACATATTTGAACAAAAAAAGAAAACATAAGTGTATTAAAAAAAATAAAAGCATCATTCATTTATTTGATCCATGCTTTTCATAGAGAATATATATATTTTAAACCGTATATATTTGTGCTTAATCCAATTCTTATTATAATAGTTACTTAATTAATTTAAATAAATAAATAAATTATAACAAATGTAATATATATTTTTTAAAACAACCATGTGTAACAACAAGATCAGATATCATTTTGTTAGTAAATTAGTTTGAACAAATGATAAATTTAAAATATAAAAGAGATTAAGGATGTTTCATATTTTAAACCAAATCTAGTCATTAATTAATTTTTATACTAGAGATAGAATGAAGTGATATTTTTATACTAGAGTGAAATTATCTTCTCCAATAATTTTTCATATTTGATTTTTTTTTGGGTCTAAGGGAACATGTTTTACAAATTGTGTTAATTTGATAATTTCATATTTTCTATTTGTATTTTAGATAAATTGGGTTGAATTATTGTAATTTTGAATTGATTTATGTGTATTTAAAATTTGTTAAAAAAAACAGCCTCTTAACAGGCTACAGGCCAAGCCAGCCTTGATTACAGGTCAGGTTCAGGCCAATTAAAAAGCCTTTCACAAGCTACAGGCCAGGCCTAGGCCAACAGGCCTCACCACAGGCTGGGCCTGTTATGGGTGAGGCCTGACCTGACTTGTTTCCAACCCTAAAAGATACACACCTATTCACAGCTCAAAATAATGTCCATAAACATTGATCTGAAATGGCATTTTCAATTAAAACTGTTAACGAGTAAACAATGGCAGAGAAGGCCACGAAAAGCTATACATTTTTCTTACTATATGCCCATCAGCCTTGCCCCAGTGAACTCGAGAAGTCACCTTCAAATCAGATTTTGTTGGGTTTACTGAATACTAGCTTAAATCGTAACATCAACCATTTTCAGGAATCTAAACTTGGGCACATGCGCTCAACAAGATAATATATTAGTACATAGCTAAACACTATTTTCAACTAATGACTTTGTAGTCTAGTGGTGTAAAGATGCTAATGCCTGGCGGCTACACGCTGAGTATTTCCTCTGGCTAAATAAACCTGGGCTTTATCCCGAAGATTTCACTATATTGGAGAAAAGTCTACCACGCAATGCTAGGCTGTATAGTCACCATAAACACATCCGTACAAACAATACACGACCAAACTTGTACAAACCAAAAAATCATCAAGAAAAACCACAAGCTGATCAAGTCATCACAAACCCCAGAAGTCAAGAAATAATCTGAATGAACCAACTGATCTGGTTAAAAGAGGAATCCCATAATCACACACATGGAGGATTCCTTGCCGTTCCCACTTGACCTGCAGATATACATACACAATTGAAAAACAATAAATTCATATACATAAAATATCCATCATCAGGTGCCAGACAGAATGACGATGCCTCAAACAGCGTACCGTTTAATACCACATAATAATGGGATGGACAATTGGACATTACTTCCTGTCTGTTGTTACGCCAACAACAACATTGCTTACCTGGGGCATTTTTCAAAGTCCATAAAATCTTGCATTAATCACAAGTACTGGAAGAAATTGTCAAATTCATTAGGTAAGACACATGGAACAAAATGAAAGGAAAATATAGTTACCAATTTCCCACTTGCATCAACAGACATAGGATTTTCGACCACAACAGTTTGGCCTTGAGAAGGGAGCATTGACTGGGATAATAAACACAATAAGATGAATGTTAGATTGATACAAGCACAGAAAACTTCTGAAAGGTTCCAAGTATGAATAATCACAAAAGAAAACAACTTACTGTTGAAGTAGAAGGTACTGTTCCAGAGTTGGTTGTTCCATGTGGTCTGTGGACAGTATTGGGAACTCTTCCATTGGTCCTCTGAAAAAGACAAGCAGAACAGGTACGATCAGCTAAAGCGCACACAATATAAACTACGTGGTAAATGCCCATGTCCCCTGAAACTGCCAAAATGAGGCTTTGCATTATTTTTAAACATCTCCAAAAAAAGGCAATTTTGTGGCCATTACAATAAGATAAACAAATGGGAACTCGTAGTGAATATTTTATCCCTCCAGTCCCTTCTCTATATTGGCCTATTTTCCCCTACCTATGAGCTCTCAGAGAGGTTATGAGTATAATAAGCAAGCAATGAAGAGTAGAGAGAGCGTAAAATCAAAAGACACAATCCTTTATTTCTGTGATCTTAGTGAGAAAGCAAATAATAATGATGATCATGATCATGAGAATCTAATTAAAAAAATTATATAGTAGAAAATGGTTGTTCAGAAAAGAATTAAATGTGGTCTTCATGATTGTAGAACCTAGAAATTTCTTAATACCAACCGAGTAGAGCTGAAACCATAAAGAAATACAATGCACTATCTCTTTATATGGACAAAACTAGTAAAAGAAATAACTATGAAGTGCCAAATTTCCTTATTCAACCTTATATGGACAAAACTAGTAAAAGAAATAACTATGTAGTGCCAAATTTCCTTATTCAACATTGTATGCTTGAGTCTAATACCGGAAGATTATCAACTTCCATTAAAAGACTCAGTCAAGAAAAGTAAATTTTCACAGCATTTATACACATGATTCTATTCTTCCCCTAATAGAAACTGAGATGTATTGATGAGAAGCATGATTTTTGTAGCTTAAATTTTCATCCCTATTGGTCATTTTAGATGAGCACCAAACTATGAATACTAAAATAAGCAGACCATGAAATACAAATCCTAAAGTCTAACATACACTTACAATCAATCATCCAGATCCATTACATGAGGACGAGGGAACAAGTAGTTGCTATGGAAAAGAATAAAAATAAATAAATGAAAGAGTGATTTAACACAGAAAAAATCAATTGTGGAAACTTGCCACATGCACTTGACCACAGGAAATCACCTGAATATTAAGCTGAGAAAATATCACATAATCAAGGCGCATAGAGTTGATCATATCTAGCTATCTCGGAAACATAGCAATAGATCTTTTTTTTTTTTTTTTTGGTTTCAGAATTTCTCAAGCATCTGTATGTAAACATTCTTAGGCTTTACTTGCTGTGTACTTACACTGGTATCTGTGATATACTGGCAAATTGCGCATTTGACTGATGGAGCTCCATATGGATACATTAAAGTTGTCCGACAGTTCCCACAGTGTATATGGGCAAAGTGGCTAGATGCTTTTGATGCAGACAAAACAACAACAGAATATCAGTTAAAATCCGGACACAAGTAAATGACGGATAGTCATCAATTTATTAAATATCCCAAGGAAATAATAATTGAATGACATAAGGTGAATATGGGGGAGCCAACAAAACCAACATTCCATAAGCAACATATATTGTAGCAAAAGTAAAGCAATTCAAAGAAAATGATCAGCATTATTTTCATTTGCAATTCAAATATATTGATAGGTAATAAATAGACTTCCATAGCTAAGGCAAAACAAAATGTAAAAAATTAAACAGGGTGCAGATTTAAAAGTGGATTATTACAAAGTAATAGCCAACTTACTTCTCAATCTATTATCCCACCCTATTTTAAGTCCCACGGCAACCATTCAAACATAAAAAAGGACAACATCACAGCCCGTTTGGCACAAAATGGGAAAAAAAAAAGGGAATAGAAATGGGAAAGATCTCTCCCATAAACACGGGAAGTTCTCTTTCCGATAAAGTTATTTTACCATCAACCACACACAATCAAAGCAGTTTCCCTCACCTTTTTCGTTTCACCAAATCGTTTTTCATGTACCAAACACAGCCTAAGATTAAACTATTTTCCAGATTGTAGACGGAAGACAAGTATAGAGATATGTAGAGGGTCAACAGAATTCAAAATACTCAATGATCAAGCATACAACTAAAACCAACACCATAGTTGAAATATCAAAATATCAGCAACATTATCTAGCAAATCAAATTATCAAAACATAATGATTTAAAATTCATAAAGACATACTAAGACATATCCAGTAAAATACAAATCTACAGCACCTGGTGCAAGGTTCACCGTATGACAGCAAGAGCATCTAACACTTGTAGCTCCACGTGTGTACATCAGCAATGTCCTACATCCTCCACAATAAAGTTGAGACATTTCCATCCCTAGGATCATGGGAAAATAGTGTTAAGAAGAAAGCATCCAATTAGAGTCTGGTCACGTGAATATTCTTATCTTGCCCTCAGAAAAGTTAGCTTTTAGTTTCTACCAAGTCTCTAACATGCACAGAGTCAACAATCATATAACGCATGGGCATAGGATGCAAATCAATAATATCACTCAAAATCTCACAGCACAAATATCAAACTTGTATTTTATAGGACAAAGTTTTTTAATTGCACAGAACTTACTAGTTTTGTCTTTTGTGACTTATGAATCCAAATTTATAAAAAAATCTTTGGGTTGAACCTACTTTTGGAACATATACTTTTAACAAGTTTTATCTTTTGTTCCTATATTTCTAACGAGTTTTTGTTTTAGTCCATATACTTCATTCATGGTGCTAATGAAGTTAATGCCATTAAACTAAGTTGTCAGTCCTTGTAAAGCTATAGGGACTAACTTTTTAGACAGAATAATATTGGACCGAAAAACAACAAAAACAAAGTATAGAGACCAAAACCAAAAACTTACTAAAAGTATAGAGACCAAAAGTAGGTTTAACTCAACGTCTTTTATACAGATACCTAGAGTTGTGGACATGTTATAAATAAGTCCTGAAATGTGAACAGGGAGATACATGTTTCAAACGAAATAAGATTTAGCGTAACACAAACCAATCACTGATTAGACAAGAATCTAATTTACCTTGGCAACAGAAAGTAATACAAGTAATTAGAGGACTTTTTTTTTTTTTTCTTTTTAAAATACTCTTTGGTCCTAAATGTAAGAGCTAATTAAAGAGTTGATTTTGAACCTAAGTGTAAGACCTTAATTCATTTTTTTCTCTCATATTTATTATTTTTCCCCAAACTAATTTATCTAACTTATAAGCTCATACACAATCTAATGTTATACAAGGATATTACCAGGTTACATTTGTTAGAATTAAGTAATCTATTTAACTTCCTCAATTTACTCAAATTAATTAAGTAAATCTTATATTAAAGACCAGAGGAGCGGAGAAGTAACAATGATGCATGACAAGTAAAAATCCCAGGTGTTTTGTATGGCAATTTATTTGCAAAGGTAATTCCATGAGATGTATCCTTACATCAACCATATCTATGACATGTTAGCATGTGCCGCATGAAAACAGCCCCACTTCCCAGCTAAAGACACAGGTAAATGTAAACATACTAAAGTGCAGTACGCTATTCATATTCAATACCATTCTTTTTCCTTTTCCTCTGTCTCTTAAATAATCTTTGGAATAATGGCATGAATAAGACTTCTTTGGTATCTTTTATAAAAGGAAATCTATCATGGAGGATGTGAGAAATGCATAGAAGTAGAATAAGAAATCCAACGTCTAAAAGAGGAAAAATAGATATAATTAATGCAATAGAATTCTTCAAACCTCAACCAAATCAACAAGGAAAGCATCAGCAAAGAATCCATGTGCACCCATCATGGGAATCCAAGAAAACAGCCCCGAGTTCATAACAGTAGTGATTGCAGAAATATCAGCTTAAAAAATTAAAGATCATTCTCATGCCATAAAAATTGCAAATTCACCGAAGACAGCAATAGACTTCCATAGAACAAATTATTCTTCTGACCAAAAAGTCCAAAATGGAAGGATAATGAGCATTAAAGCCATCTAAGACAAGGAAAACGTGAGAAACAAGAGAAGCAACTATCAAATAGTTCCTCATAAACAAAAACGCCACAAGCATCACTGACAACGATGTGAATTTCTGGGGTCTCATGCAATGAATTAATTATGAACCATATCGTCCCAAGCATTCTGATGGAAAACGTTCAAACAAATTCCATTGTACAAAAGTCAATCATGCTCCAAGGGAAACTGCCGTAACCATTTTACCCACCAGAGCATAGTGCTTAAAGATCTCCAGTTCCACATTGAAAAAATAGGGCAAATAGGAGCAATAAGTGCTAAAAATATTGAACATCATAACGATTATGATGAGTTCACAACTCTCTAAAATTTCTGATGGGCCCCAACCCACTAAAGCAAATAGAAGGATATATAGGAGCATCCAAAGGACAAAAATAGGGGACTACTGGTCCAAAAGAAAGCACAAAAGTTAAGAAGCAGACTAGACAGAAAAGTAGAGGAGTAGATCAAGGTAGTCATGACTAAGAGATAGCACTGAGCAATCAAAGAGTTGTTGATGGGAGTATATAAAGTGACAAAAACTGAGGAGCAAGCAGTAGGAGAACATTGGTCCAGGTTTTGGTGGAAAGAGCCAACCCTGGTCCATGCCTCTCCAAAGTTGACAAATGATGTATTATTATAATTATTTTTAAATATTAGGAGAAGCAACAGTCACTAACCATTAAGAGAGGTATTTAAGTAGTAATTAGTTCTGTAATTAGGCCTATAAATGGACATGATCAGGTGCCCCATTGGACAGTTTTTGATTTCTAGGAATATATGGTGCACTATTCTGACATGACTTGTGTCTTCTCTCTGTTTTCTCTCGCTCTTCTCTAACTCTCTTCTCCTAATCTCTATCTTTCCCATCTTTCTTCTTCCCTGATCTCTCTTCTATCTTCTCTTTTCTTATTCTATCCTATCAGTGGTATCAGAGTCAGGTTTTCCTCGGCATGATTCACAAATTCTTACTCGGTGCATGGTACTTACCCGCGGCCAAACAAGAATTATGGAGGAACACTTGAACCAGATTGAACAACGCCTGGGCACAATCAATGAACTCCAAAAAACAGTCTTGGGATTCAATACGTAATTGCAAAATCTCCAAGAAACAGTCTTGGGATTCAATATGTAATTGCAAAATCTTGTTCGGGATTTTCGTGAGGGTACCATCGTAGCCCAAAACCACGACCACAAGCGACGCAATGACCAAGATCAAAGGGGAAACCAAAATCGGTATCAACGACTGACCCAACTGACGAAAATGGAGTTCCCAAATTCAACGGTATCAACGTTCTCACATGGATTGCATGATGTGAGCGATTTTTCAAATTTGACGAAACTCCAAAGGCGTCAAAAGGGAAGGTCGCATCTCTGTATTTGGATAATAAGACCTTCAAGTGGCATCTTGCAGTAGAAAAACGGCGTAGGGGACGAACAATAGGATGGGAGGAGTATGTCGACCTACTCAGTGACACTTTCGACCCCTTGCTCGACACCCCCATGGCCGAATTTACTCACCTGCGTCAAACTGGGTCTCTCGCGGAATTCAACGTAGAGTTCAACGCCATTACTACAAAGCTCGATCTTTCCGAAGACTACTTAGTGGATGCCTACGTCTCTGCTCTTAAACCGGACACTGAGGTCTCTATTTGGATGTTCAACCCTAGGTCATTGCAGGAGGCTCAACGCTTAGCAAGAATCCAATAAATAGCTCTAGCGAAGCAAAATATAAAAACCGTGTCTTCTAAATTGACATCGCATGTGTATGTTGCAACTTAGGTGGCGCCTTCTGCTTCTCACACTGTGTCTTACCCTAAGAGTGTTCCTATGAGTAGTGGGTCCCACTAGAGAGATAAGTTTTCCTTCCTTTAATAAAAAATTCCTCTTCTTTCTTAAAGAAACCATTGAAGCCGTTGAAGCTTTTATTTGCAGACGAGGAAGCAGAACACAAGGCGAAGAATCTCTGTTTTTTCTGCCACCAGAAATTTTTCAAAGATCACAAATGCCCACAAAGTCAAAAAATGCAACTCTATTTTGTCCGTTTGGAAGAAGACAATGTTGTAGATGAAAACCTAGAGACCGAGGAAGTGGATGAAGCTGAGACCACTCCCTGTATCCCTTTACATGCCATTGAAGGGACAAACAGTGTAGATGCCATGAGGGTCCAAGAAACTATTAAAAGTGTGCCATTCAAATCCTTATTGACAGTGGTAGCACGCATGATTTCATGGACCTTGGGCTTGCCAAGAAGTTAGGATAGGAAACTAATACAAAAGAAGCATCCTTTGTATCAGTTGCGGGTGGCAAGAAACTCAAAGTTCATGGACTTTGGAAGGACTCCATTGGAAAATACAAGGCCTAGAGTTTGCCTTTGATTTTAGAATTTTAGATCTTAAAACCTATGATTTAGTTCTTGGTCTAAAATGGCTTAAAAGTATTAAAAATGCTTTTTGGGATCAAGAAACTTTCACTATGTTTCTCTGGTATGAAGGGAAGTTGCAGAAGTTGCAAGCCAACATTCCAAACACCTACCAAATGGTGCAACCAACAAGGATTGAAACTGCCCATTTAAAGGAAGAACAGCTCTTCCTGCTCTAGTTGGTCACCAGAAAAGGAACAAAAGTCCAATGTTTTGCTGTTTCAGATGTGGACAACAGTACTCCTTCTAAAATTCAAGGGGTCCTCAACGATTTTCAAGGAGTTTTTGGGGATCCTAAGGGATTATCTCCTTTAAGAAATGGCCATAATCATCCTATTCTTCTCAAAAAAGGAACAAATCCTATTAGTTTGAAACCTTATAGATACCCAGCAGCCCAAAAAGATGTTATTGAAAAGATTGTACATGAATTGTAGGAGAATGGGGTAATTTAAGATAGTTGTTCACCCTTTTCAGCCCCTATAGTTTTAGTGAAGAAAAAGGATGGGACACGGAGGATGTGTGTGGACTATAGAGAGCTCAATAAGTACACTGTCAAAAATCAGTACCCCATTCTTTTAGTAGAAGATCTTTTTGATGAATTAAGTAGGTGGTTTACTAAGTTGGATCTTTGGGCTGGATACCCTCAAATTCGTATGGAACCAAAGGATACCCATAAAACAACCTCCAAAACCCATTCTGGGCACTATGAGTGGATGATCATGTGTTTTGGCTTAACTACTGCACCAGCCACTTTTCAAAGAGCTATGAATAACATTTTTAGACCTTTTTTTAGAAAATTTATTTTAGTTTTCTTTGATGACATATTGGTCTATAGTTCTTCTCTTGCAAACCATCAAAAACACTTATGGATAGCATTCAAAATCTTGCAAGAGAATTGCTGCTTTGTTAAGAGGAGCAAATGTACGTTTGTTGCAACTGCTGTAGAATACTTAAAACACATTATCAAGCATGGCACAGTCTCTACAGATCCACAAAAGATAGAAGCTGTAGTCAATTGGCCTATCCCTAGCTACATTAAACAATTAAGGGGCTTCTTGGGGTCTATAGAAGGTTCATCAAGGGATATGGTAACTTGGGTAGGCCTCTGACCCTATTATCACGAAAGAATGCCTTCCAGTGGTCAAATTCAGCAACTCAAACCTTCCAAACACTCAAAAGTGCTCTTACTTCAGCCCTTGTCCTTAGACTTCCAAATTTCTCTAAGTAATTTATAGCGGAGACAGATGCACGTGGGACTGGAATTGGGATTTGTATTAATGCAAGAAGGGCAGCCCATAGCTTTTTTCAGCAAAGGATTAGCTCCAAGACACCAACAACTTTCAGTTTATGGAAAAGAACTTATGGCAGTAGTGCTGGTTGTGTTGGCTTAGCATCAATATCGAGAGAGGCAGAAGTTTCTCATTAAAACAGACCAGCAAAGTATAAAAATACCTTTTGGGGCAGAACCTAAACACTTCTTTTCAACGGTTTTAGGTGACAAAACTAGCTGGATTTGACTATGAGATTCAATATAAAAAGGGGAATGAAAATTCTGTAGTTGATTCTCTGTCCAGAATGCCTAGACAACAACTCATGCAGATGGCTTTTGATACATCCTCTCCTGTGTTATTGCAGAAAATAAAAACAAGTTGGAAGGACAATGATTTTGCTGCCACTCTCCTCAATAAGATGCAGCAGCATGATGGAACTTGGGGGCATTTCACCTGGGATGGTGAATTACTAAGAAGAAAGAGGAAGCTAGTCATTAGCAAGGATCAGTCCCTTAGGACACAAATTCTACAGTGGCTCCACTCTAGTCCTCAAGGAGGCCACTTAGAAATACAAGCTACCTACAAACGCATTAAAGCTTTGTTTTGGTGGAAAAAGTTGATTAATGATGTGACAGAATTTGTCAAAGCTTGTGACACGTGCAAGATGCAAATATGAAGCTATTGCACCTTCTGGACTACTACAACCTTTACCTATTCCAAGTAGAGTTTGGGAGAGTGTGACTATGGATTTTGTAGAGGGACTTCCTAAATCATTTGACAAGGACACCCTTTGGGTTGTTATAGATCGTTTGAGCAAATATACTCATTTTATTCCTCTTTCTCACCCATTTGCTGCTGCCACATTAGCTCAAGTTTTTATGGATCAAATTTATAAATTACATGGAGCGCCTACTGAAATCATAAGTGATCGTGACCCTTTGCTTGTGAGCAATTTCTAAAAGGAGTTTTTAAGGGTATTGGAAGTTGATCAAAAGCTTTCTTCTGCCTATCATCCCCAAATAGATGGTCAATCAGAGGTGTTGAATCGCTTTATGGACAGAAACCTCCAATCCATTCTCCCTATTTACCTCATAGTTTAGTTTTAGATACTGTGGACAAGAGTTTTATAGCAAGAGAGGAAATAATGGGACCTTTAAAACATCATCTCCACAGGACAGCAAATATAATGAAGCAAAGGGCTGATCATCACAGAACTGATCGAGAATTTGCTATTGGGCAATGGGTTTTTCTTAAAATTGCAGCCCTATAGACAGATCTCTACTGCTTCTAGGAGTTCTCAGAAATTGGCTCCTAGGCACTTTGGACCCTACAAGGTGATTCGCAAGGTAGGGGCTGTTGCTTACAAATTAGACCTACCTCCTGACTCAAGAATTCATCCTACTTTTCATGTCTCTCTATTAAAATTGTGCCCAAATCCTTCTATCAAACCTAGACATCCACCTCCTAATTTTCCTGAAGTCCCACCAGCACTAGTTCCAAAGAAGATTTTGGGGAAAAGGAATGCCAAAAAAAGAAGGAAGTTAATAGCTGATATACTTGTTCAGTGGCAAGGATTACCGGACGAAAAAGCCTCCTGGATGCCCCTCTATAGCTTTCAGCAGCAATTTCCAGATTTTGCTATTCCAGATCCTTGAGGACAAGGATCTTTAGGGGGGGTATTGATGTATTATTATAATTATTTTTAAATATTAGGAGAAGCAACAATCACTAACCGTTAAGAGAGGTATTTAGGTAGTAATTAGTTCTGTAATTAGGCCTATAAATAGACATAACCAGGGTACCCCATTGTGCAGTTTTTGATTTCCAAGAATATACAGTGCACTATTCAGATATGACTTGTGTCTTCTCTCTGTTTTCTCTTGCTCATCTCTTCTCTTCTCTAACTCTCTTCTCCTAATCTCTATCTTTCCCATCTTTCTTCTTCCCTGAACTCTCTTCTATCTTCTCTTTTCTTATTCTATCCTATCAACAAACTTGCTATGTGCTTGTGCTTGTAGTGTGTGTTTAACCCTTCTGTTCATCTGACATTCTACTGTTCTGCAACCATGGTCTATTTATTCATATTTGCAAGGGTCATTTGTGATGTGGTACATTCACTTTGCTGCTAGACAATACAAAAGGGGGCCTAGACACATATATGGGAATCGTAAAGCACCTCTTGGTGTGTCAGAGGGTTAACTTAGAATCTCCTGCTACTTTGGGGTAAGTTTAGGTCATATTAGAGTTCCTGTAGTTGTTTTATTTACTGTGATATACCTTTTGAAATACTTATAGGCGTGCTGTTTCTAGGTTTTGGACCACGGATCATTTTTGTATTTTGAGTGAGAGGAAGTGAGGGCACTGGCCTCAGGAGAGCCAGCTGCATTGTTGTTGATTTTGAGTATTAGCTCAGTGTTCCCTTATCATAATAGGGGAGTCTCTTTTGATTATAATCACAGTTCTACATTATCCAGTATTTTTCCAGCCTTATTCTCTATCAAACCTATCATAATGTTTTGAGCTGTTCAGTATTTTGCAGCAGAGCTTTACCAATAGCCTTTGCATTATTCTGTATTTGCTGTTATACTTCTGCATTTTGGGTGTGATAGAGATGTTGGGTTGGATCTTGTATGATCATAAAGCATAATATTTGTTCAATAGAATAGTGAAAAGACAAGTTCCCAAGTTGGTTTCATTTTCGGGTTCTAGTTACTCAGTTGCTTTGTTTCAATTAATTAGTTCTTAGGGACAAAATATACTTTACAAGCTACCCCAAAAAAATGTAGATAGGTGGTGTTGCAACATTTATCATCAATAAACTCAGCCAAAAGATTGAGCTGAAGTTCTTTTGTAAAAGACATGCTACTATCATTTTTTTTGTTTTTTTTGAGTCACTGCTACCATCGACATTTTTTATTCAGAGTTTTCACACCTGAAGGCCTACGAGGATTTTAAGTTTCACAATGCAGCACTGTACTAATTTAACTATTTTAACTCAGTGCTATAATGCCAAAGATCAATTCAAATACTGATGTCAATTTCTTAGAAAGTGAGACATGTATGATATGAACCTATTTCTGGTTTAAACTATAATCTCATATTTACTCACAAATATAAAGACATAAAACAATGGCAATAATAAAAAACATTTGCCCCAACAATCTCTGAAAACCTTTCACATGCAAATCATTTTGATAAAAAAGAATTTATTTTCAATATTCTTAGTCCCCTCATCACACTAGCATTAGTAATCAATTAGAACAATCAATTTAAAAAAACACATTTTTCCATCATGCACTTCCATATCCAGTAATGCATTTTCCTATCCCTAAAATTATTAGTCTCCGAAGTCCAAAACAAAATATCACTGTGAGTACTAGAAATTAAATCAACAATGTTATCACCTAATTCAATCTATCGGGCATATAGCGAGACTACAGAAAAGAAGCTTACCAGGTGAAGGAACAGAGGTAATTGTGTTGCACAATGCACAACAAACATTAGTGGCTCCCCTAGGGTAAAGCAAAACGCTCCTGCACCCACTACACACAAGCTGACTCTGCATAGCTGCAAGTTACAGACCTTGACAATCATCAGGAGGTCCAACCTAAAGAAAGAAATAAGGATATAACCCTTCACTCTACAGATGATCTAATCCTAGTTGCACTGAGATTAAATTTAATAAAACCCTCAAAATCCTTATAAAAAGCACTGCAGTGAGACTCACCTAGAAAACAAATACAATACAAGCAAAGAATTTGCCGCTAAATTCCAATGAATTTTATTGGGCAAATAGAACAGGAACTGAGTACTATAATGCTGCCAAAAATTCCAATTTCTATGTCAACAAAAAAAATATTAGTTTGCAAGCCAGGCAAATTTCGACAATTTGGAAATTCTATCTTATTATCTTAAATAGCAAGAGCATTCGAAACTTTTAACACGTGTCCTCGAAATCGAACAAGCGTACCCAGCAGGCCCAAAAACAAAAGGAAAGAAAGAAAAAGCGCAGCTTGTTTTCTTCTGAAACACACCAGAAAAATACCCCCCACATCATCAATCCAAAATCAACTACTTGCGTAACCATGGATAGACTCCGAGGTCGAAGAATACCTGCGGCAGTTAGATTCCAACCCCCTACTCGATTCACCAGACAAGTTAAGAAAAATCTACCAGATAAATCAAAGAAACAAAAGATGGCCCAATTGAACCCTAAAACTCGCCAATTCAGAAAGGAGATTATCCTACAACGTCTTCCGCAAAGGAAAAATCGATGCCGAACCGACGAGAATATGAAAGGGACAAATACGATTGTTGTCTCTTTATCTCTGTAATTCTTTTTTAGGGCCAATTAATCTCTGTCTGTTAGCTGTGATTGAAATGAGACACTTTCCACAAGAAGAAACACGGAAATCCACCTGTGCTGTTCCGGCAACGAAAGCGTGTCCCCCAAGTCTTTAAACAAGCATTAGTCTGTGCAACTCGACTTCTTCGAAGTTCGATCACATGGATTGGGAATTTTCCAGTCTTCCAAATTTTCCTTTCCCCACAACAACCAATTTTTGGTTTGACTCTTTTTCAGTTCACTATTTTAATGTTTAATAAGGTAACGCGTTTTTCTTTTATTTTTATTTTTTGGTTTTTGAATGGCTGCGCGTTTTTAAATTAGACATACAAGTCAGAAAAGATTAGAGTCACAGTGAATTGGTCAGGTAATATAATAGCTAAATAAAAATTTAATAAGATATAATAGTATTCAAATATATTATATCAAAATAATAACATCATACCAGCTGGTAAAAAAATACCACACCACAATACATAAAATTTTTAGTTAAATAATACTGTATGGTTAAAGAAATAGATTTCAGGAAAAATCCCATATAAATACCTATTGAATTCTAAAATCCCAAATAAGTCACTCTAATTTTACAAAAGACAAATAAGCTTAGAGGTATTAAATTGGAATTTGTGAATTTTGACAAATTACCTCCATGCCCTTTTTCTCATTTCCTTATCTTCTCTCTCTTCGTCATCTTTTTTAGGGTAAAGACACAGCTTTTATGGGAAATTACTTTATGTCGTGGCTGCATCATTCTTTCAATGGGTTTTGTTAGACATTGGAGACACGGTTGAGATATTTTAGGGTAGAGAAGAGAAATCGCTATTGATTTTGGGAGCACACCATTCTACAACAGATTCTCTTCTTTTTCAAATAGCGGCCATTGCGAAGCTTTGTTGCTTATATTTATGAATCAAAAGAAGCAATGGAAACTGAAGTATAACAACTATGAGTCATCTTCTTTAGAGAGAGAGAGAGAGAAGATACGGCTAGATCTTCTTTTTTCTCAGTCATGGTAGCACTAAATGTAGTTACTGTCATAGAACATTCTGGTTTTTAGTAAATGTTATTAGTTTAGTTGTCAAACCCATTATAAATGTTGTTAATCATATTATTTTGCAAGAGATTGACTTTTGTGGTCTGAATGACAAGAAAATATCATAGATAATATTTGATCTTAATGTTAACTTATTATTTGAATGTATTTAATGTAGCGTCTGTCATAGGCTTATTAGTTTTTTGTAAATATTGTCATTTTAGTAGTCAATTCTATTACATATGTAGTAAATTATGAAAGTTATTGATATCATGTTTATTATGATGTTTTTCTAACTTACTTGTATACTAATTTGTCAAAACATTTTGACCCTCGTTTAATTCCCCCAAAGGCTAGACTTAGAACAGGTTGTAAAAATTGCTATGCATTTAGTAATTTTCATTACGCAAGTTATCATTCCCATTACATCTTTAATAAAGTTGTCTACAAATGAACTAAAATTGGGTTGCAAATAATCAAGTTACAAGTCGCTTGATGGAAATGGTAACTTGCATTATGCAAGTTGTCATTTTCATTACTTGTTTTGTAAAATAATATGTAAATGACTTAAAATAGGTTGTAAAAATCATTATGTAATTGGTATATTTCATTACATAATAAGTTGTCATTCGTGTTATATGTTTGATAAAATTGTTTTTAAATGGACTAAAATTGGGTTACAAATAAACAGGTTGCAGATCTCTAATAGAAATGGTAACTTGCCTTACGTAAGTTGTTATTTATGTCACTTGTTTTGTAAAACTTTAAACAGATTGCAAAAATTGTTATGCAACTGATAATTTTCATTACACAAGTTGTATGAATCCCTAGTTGAGTGAAAGAAAAGGCATGGAGGTAATTTGTCAAAATTTACAAATCTCAATTTAATACCTATAGTTATTTGTTCTTTATGAAATTAGAATGACTTACTTAAAATTTTAGAATTCAATAGGTATTTATATGAGATTTTTCCTATTTTATTTTAGGAAGAGCATAAATGAAAGATACCTATTGCATAATGCTTTTTGCAACCTGTTTTAAGTCATTTACATATTATTTTACAAAACAAGTAACGAAAATGACAACTTGCATAATGCAAATTACCATTTCCATCAAGTGACTTGTAACTTGATTATTTGCAATCCAATTTTAGTTTATTTGTGAACAACTTTATTTTATTAAACATGTAATGGGAATGATAACTTGCATAATGAAAATTACTAAATGCATAGCAATTTTTGCAACCTGTTTTAAGTCTAGCCTTTAGGGGAATAAAACGAGGGTCAAAATGTGTTAACAAATTAGTATACAAGTACACTAGAAAAACATCATAATAAACATGATATCAATAACTTTCATAATTTACTTCATGTGTAATGGAATTGACAATTAAAACGACAATATTTATGAAAAACCAATAAGCTTATGACAGATGCTACATTAAATATATTCAAATAACAAGTTAATGTTAAGATTAAATTAGTATCTATGATATTTTCTTGTCATTTAGACTACAAAAGTCAATTTATTGCAAAATAATATGATTGACAACATTTATAATGGGTTTGACAACTGCACTAATAACATTTACCAAAAACCAGAATGTTCTATGACAGTAACTACATTTAGTGCTACCCATGACTAAGGAAAAAGAAGATCTAGTCGTGTCTTCTCTCTCTCTCTCTCTCTAAAGAAGATGACTCATAATTGTTATACTTTGGTTCCCATGGCTTCTTTTGATTCATAAATATAAGCAACAAAGCTTCGCAATGGCCGCTATTTGAAAAAGAAGATGATCTGTTGTAGAATGGTGTGCTCCCAAAATCAATGGTGATGTCTCTTCTCTACCCTAAAATATTTCAACTGCGTCTCCAATGTCTAACAAAACCCATTGAAAGAATGATGCAGCCACGGCATGAAGCAATTTCCCATACAAGCTGTGTCTCTACCCTGAAAAAGACGATGAAGAGAGAAAAGATAAGAAAATGAGAAAAAGGGCATCGAGATAATTTGCCAAAAGTTGTAAATTCCAATTTAATACCTGTAGACTTATTTGTCTTTTGTGAAATTAGAGTAACTTATTTAGGATTTTAGAATTCAATAGGTATTTATATGGGATTTTCCTTGGATTTTATTCTAGCTTCCAATATTTTAACATCAATATTTTGCTTCGTCCAAAGCAAATTTTTTATATTTTCTGGCACTACTACAATGAAGACTTTTTACTTCTGTTTTGCATGACTTTTCACTTCTGTTTTGCAGGGGACATGAAAAGAAGGGACATAAAAAGTACCCCCTTTTTACTTCTGTTTTGAACAGAAGCGAATAATGGTATTATCTACGTCTGCAAAAACATACGCAAAAACATACGTGAATTCACGTTGGTCTTTTTAAAACAGACGCGAATTTACATCTATTTTGTTAGAATAGACGTAAATTGACGTTTGTTTTGGTGTAAAACAGAGATTAATATTATGATTTTTTACTTCTGTTTCCTAAAACAGACGTGAATGTGCTCGTTTTTTTAAAAAAAAAATTCACTTCGTATGTACCACTTCCCTACAGCCACAATAGCCATAATAGCCACTTTCCAACACGTTGAAATAGAATAAACCAGTCAATATTTTCAGCCAAGACATATCAACATCACAACTTCATCAATATATTGACACATTAACTAACTAGTCAAAAAAGAAGAACAAATTGCAAAAGTCAAAATTGATAACCTATTATGTCTATAAACATAAACTTGATCAATCCCTAGACCACCATTCTTGAAGCAGTTACTGTGCCAAAAGGTCTCAATGAAGTCAATATCATCAACAATATAAGAGCAGTCATTATCAAAAATCTGTAAATTGACAAATGAACAAATTTAAACATATGAAGAAAATAAAATAAATAACAATTCAATTTAAAAATTCAACAACTATTACAAAACTAAAATTATATTTACTTACCTCATCAAATTTTGTAGTACATCCACTCTCAATAATTTCAAACATATAACAGATAATGTAATATTCGCACTTTGTTGACCCTCTTGCTTAGCACACTGCAAATCACAAGGAAATGATAATCTAAATTCATATATAAAATAACTCATCAATGAAAAAACTTCAATTCAAAGTACTCACGTTGGGATAGACCTAAGTTGTTGGGCCATTTTTGCCAGAACGCTTCCCACTGGTTATATAATAAGTCTTTAAAGCCCTATAAGCAAATGAAAACACAAGTTAAATAATTTATAGTAAAAACAAAATTATTGATCTACATTAAGGTACTTACGTGTTGAAAACGCCCCTCATCTCAGTGCTTGGACAATGACCCAAGGGATCAAACCAGTAGATGACATTGTCGATAGGACAAGAAACACACAAACTCCAATGATGACTGCATCATAGAATAAGACTTATACATTATTGGATATCACAATAATTCTTAGCAATTTAAGTATGTCTAAAAAAAATATAATTAAGCTACTTGCCCTTCAATAATTGGTGCCAAATAACAAGGTAATTTAGTGTCTCTAATCGTATTGCCCACATATCTGATTCTCCTATCTAGTGGGTTGTACTTCTTCTGGACACTTGCAGGGCATAAATATCCATACAAATTTCTCTTCTCCATTGATGACATGCATTTGTTAAGGAAAAAGCTATCATTGAATAAGGTAATTATTAGCATGTGCAAAGTAAGAAATTAGAAGTTTAAGTTAGAAATAAAAAAATAAACTTACATAATTGCTAATTGAAGCCATGCTATGTCCAACTCCTTCAAAGATAAGAATTCCCTAATATCGTTGTTGTCAAGTTCAAAGAAATATGATTTTTCTTCACCCACAATCTCTACAGGCATCTTTATGTCCACCTTGTTAATTGTTTTATATTCCTCATATAATTGTGCCAAGCAAGGATATCTATCAACATCTTTCTGGTCCTAATGAAACATCAGATAAACATAATAAGTATTATAAGTATTATGTTAAAAAAAAGTCACACAATACAACATGACATTTTCTTACCATCAAAGGT